CGTTGTGTATGTGAAGCGATTCGCGCAGTCTTCCAAAAGTAAACCAGAATATGAATACTGTATGGATGTTTTCTGCCCGGTTTTTATATCTCGAGTCCTTTAAACAGGTCGCTTGGCCTATAGATGGATTGGCTAATGATCACCTGGTCCTGATGGCCCCATCATGACCAGCAAACTAGAGCAGGATGCGTTTCCAGGTTTGCAACGCCCTGACCCATCCCTCTAGAGGCCCACGACTGCGGCTACATCGCTGAGTGATCATTGTCTGGGCTTCACTTTCCACCTCTCCAGTCGATTTTGCGTTTTTCCTGTCCATCCCATTTGGCTGTGAATTTTGTTTCACCCTATGCCTTTCTACAGTAGAGATAGGCAAATTTCGGTTTGTTGTGGGACCGACGCCAGCACCAGTGGTTTGCCGATAGATGATTCAGCCGTTTGGGAGTGGGGTCCGCCTAGCCAAGGCCAAAGATCGTCCGAAATCTGGGTCTAACTTCTAAAAAAATCGCCCAGCCCTCTTTAACAGCCACATTTGGCCTTGGTGCACGTCGGTTCGTTAGTCAAACGGCCCTAAATTCCTTCATCGCTGTTCCCGTCTGGGTTTTAGAAAAATTCCCGTGACTCATCCTATTGCATTATGTCCTATTTTGGGGCACAGCTTCAAGCCCCTATACTTTTGTGCTCTTTTTCGTATGACCGCTTATATGTATCTGCTTGCATTAATGTGTGTAAGTATGTATTTACTTACGCCTCAACGTGTATATGCAAGGGGCTGTGTGCATGCGATACCTGCCCATGACAGGATGCGTGTGTTGCGTGTACATGTCGGTTATCGATTTGCTCTGCTCGTCTATCGCCTACTCTCTGCAGTCCACTCATTTTTGGCCCACTCAAAGGGGCACACAGACGGCATCGCCAATGCCCATCCACTTTCCGCGTCCGTACTTGTGTCCACACGTAGACAGAACGATCACCACCAGCGTCGGCACCACCCGCCTTTCCGCTTGATCCACCAGCGGGCCTACTGACCAACCGACCACTTGGCTGGCTGGC